GCTTTTGCTTCCTATTAGTCGGTTCACTTTTAACAGATGATGTTTCGCTTGTAGGAATGACTTCATCTACAGGAACTTCTTTTGTTCCACTAGTGCTTTGCACATCGAAGTTGTCAGGCTTGTTTAGTGGCTCTGGCACATATCTGCCTTTGGTTTTCCAGGATGTCCATTCTGACAGACCAACGATTTCGTCAACATTATCTATAGGAGCAGACCAGAAAAACTCATCACAGCCATCTGCATTATCTTCGTTTACTATGCCGGTGAGCTCGGTTGTCTGATGTTCGATTACTCCTGTGACCTTATATAACTGATTTGGAGTTGTTCTTACCTTTTGGTACACAACAGCCTTTTCTTCAAGAATCGGGGACTTATTTTGAGGCAAACGAGCAAACTCCACAGAATTTTCAGAAATAAGATTTTTGTGGTTTTCGGGTTCGCTCTTAACAAACTCAGAACAGTCAACTTCATCCTCTATAGAAATTACGCTCATATCATCATCCTCATTAAGCTCAGATGCGTTTTCAACATCAATTTTATTTTCTGAGCTCAAGTTGGCATTCAATGAGTCAAAATTTTGTATGGTTTCAGTCCTAAGTTTCAGTTTATCGTTTTCATCCAAAAGATTTTACAGCATGTCCTTATGGTCTTTGGACTTTATAAAAGATTCGATTTTGTCCAGTCCATACATATAAGTCAAATTCACATCATCATATGAAACTACACTTTCGCAACTATATGCTTCAGCATCGATTTCATCCTCCTTGAACTCAAGGAAGGGCAAAATCATGCGATGAATTTTCCGCCCTATTTCACAGTTCAAATGAAGTTGAGTGATGTTAGCATAAAGACGCTTAGCAATTAAACAAAAAACATTTCTCTGTTTCAAAAGTTTCAAATTGTCTCTTTGTAAGTAAATGTTTTCGTCCTTAGATTTAATCAGCTTTGACTCCTTCAGCTCTATCCACATCCTCCGTTCCTCACTCTTGGATGACATCCTGCTTATTTGGTCGGTTAGGTTAGAATTGGTGACCCGTGTTTGAGTTAAACTGCTATCTAGATTTGAGATTCTTGAATTTAACCTTTTTAATTCTTTTTCATATGAATTTTGTGGGACTTTGAATGAAACAAAAACGGATTGTACCTTCTTGATCAATTCATCAAGCTCATTGATCTGCACACTGAGAGGTTTTGTTGTGAAGCATAAGTCCTCTTGCTCCTTAGTGTCCTCATTCCCACCGTCTGTATTGTATCCCCTTATTTGAGATAAATCTGTCACCATCAAACACTTCCCACTGCTTTCATCACATCTTGCAACATACGCCTTTCCATGAGATGACTTCCTGACTTCATCATCCTCTGAATCGGTTGACCAGACCTTAACGCCACCGAACTCATCATCCGCTGTCGAACCCTGCACAATCAAAGCATTTATCGAAGGGTTAGCAGCAGCTTTCTTTCTCTTGATCTTTTGCAGCTTTTTCATCAACACATCCTCTTCATCTTTTTCCTTATCCTTCTCTGCCATTTTCTTTAGGACACAGTCTTTGGCATAGTGGTTCTTTCCTCCACAGTAGTAGCAGCTCACACTAGAATCTCCTTCAACTTTCGCCTCTTTTTTGGTTCTTCTGTCTTCGGTTCCTCCCTAACTTTTTCAGAACTATAGCTTCCCTGCCAATTTCGGATTTTATTGGTTGGGAACCTTTTCTTAATGAACCTCTTTGGATTCGACACCATCATTGCATAATCTTCAGAAGTAAGATCATAGTCTTCTAGGTTAAGATCTTCATCTTCTACCACACTTTTGCTTTTAGACAGGAGGGCCAAGGACCCCAAACTTGAGACCATATTCTTCTCTTGCAGGACAATCTTTTCTTGGGATTTCAGAATTCCCACCAGCTTTGCTAAGGAATAAGACTTGAACTGCTCATGAGCTTTAACGGTGGACATGACAGCTCTCCACTCGGATCTTATGCCATTCAAAAAGGTAACTTTTTGTTCAATCAGCTTCCTTTCTATATCGTGTTTGATCATCTTGCTAAGAAGATGATTGAAGTGATCCAACATCTGAGTAACAGTTTCATCAGAATTCTGCTTAAATTCACCAAACTCAGACAAAAGTAAGGTTTGAATAGAATGCTCTAGATCTTCATCTGTGGAATATAGCTCTCGCAGCCTATCCCATATTTCTTTAGCGGTGCTGCATGAACTCACCAACCTGAATGTATCTGATTGAAGAGCTAATCGAATCAGTCTCAATGCCTTAATGTTGCACTGAAACTTTTCTTTTTCGTCCTGAGCAACGTCCTTTACGTCCTTTAACAGATCATTATACTCTTTCTGAGTTTTAATGATTTTTGATGTTCCTGAATGAGCAAATGGTCTAGAAATGATTGCTTCCCAAATAAGATATCCATTGTCTTCCGATCCGATAACAGAATCTTCGAAATGATGCGCCCAAACTTCGTAATCCTGGGTGTAAAGAATAGGAATCTTCGTCGTTGATCCAATGCTGTTTGAGATGTTGATGGGATTAGATTGTGACTCGTCCATGCTTGATCGTTTAACCTGTTTGAAAGATCAGACTTGTAATATGTAAAATTAGGGAAAAACAAATAAATACTGAGTGACGTCAATTATGGAATGACGGCTCAATAAATATTAGTTAATGCGGAATAACCCTAATCGCTAACTCTTTCACAGAAAAGATGTGTATGAATTACACAGCCTCCTGCTCTGATACCAATTAATGAGTTAATAATAAACTCGTTGATCGATTAGATCTTCATAACAGGTAATTGATGAACGTAAAAACAGTAAACAAAACACATGTATGAATCAAAATGTGTCGAATGATTAGATTAGTTGATCCTCAGCAGAGCTCGACTAAGAACTTCCACTTTAGAGGATTCTAGGGTTACAAAATCAAAACGATGAATTTGCTGAACAATACTTATCTAATCGTTTCTAATCGTCTTCATTCTAGGATGCATGCAAGCATCTATTTATATTAAACCCTACAAAACTCACGGATGGACAGGCCCATACCGGAGACATATATTGGACTAGCTAACGAGCCCAATAGACGCAACACAATGTCAGACCTAACATATATATATATATATATATATATATATATATATATATATATATATATATATATATATATATAATATTCGGAGAAATAGAGTTGAATATGTTACAGTCTAGGTCGGATCTCTTCCAATCACGCAGAGGAGGCAACATATGACTAATAGTAAGAAAGAAAGAAAATGATTTTCTATAGACCTAATTCATCGGAATTTACCAGTCACCCCGTCAATACCAGAATTAAGGATAGAATCCGCACATCGAGGAAAAGTTAAACCACGGTTCCAGATATGGGTTCATTTAATGTGACGAGTAGATTCTCATATATATCTCCCTGCTCAACCTATCCAAGCGTCGTATTGTTAGGCTAAACGGAACTAACTAGGTCAAGATTTGTTAAGTCTATAAATTCCTTAAGTTCATCTGCACCTAGTCAAGTCTGTTAAATTCTTCGTGCCTACCGACGCATCAAACCAAAGCATAGACCCTTCAACTTTGGGTACATTACGCAGACTCAGATTCTCCGTTATCACTCACTTCCCAAAACATCTCCCTCAAGCACATTCCATAACCAACATATTATTATTATTATTATTATTATTATTATTATTATTATTATTATAATTATTACTATTATTATTATTTTGATTTTCTGTTATTTAAAATTTAAAAATTTTTGTTTTGTTTTTATTGCTCCCCCTAAATTTGTGCATAGGAGAGAAACGAAAGCAAATGCGCAAATTTAAACTATCATATAACAAAAATTTGTCTTTAAAGCGAATCAGCTTAAGAAAAACTCAGGAGTATAGAGAAAAAAACTCAAACCGTAAGTCACTGATAGCATTTGCATCCAGAAGGTCTGAGAAAAGCACGCTTAAAAGTCAAACGAGAAAGTCAAAATTTAAAGTTAAAGGTCAACTTTTAAAAGTCAACGTCAAAATTTAAGTAAAAAGTCAAAAATAAAAGTTAAAATTTAAAAACTAAAATTTTTGGGTTGAAAATAGATTTTTAAAAATAAAATTTTGAATTTTGGGGTTGAAAATGTCAATTTGCGAAATTAGACGCGAAAAAGGATGAGTTATATTTTAAATTTCGGAGCAATGACACAAGGAGCCTCCTAGACGAGTTGGTTAAAGCGTTGTGGCAATGACCAAGAGGTCCCGGGTTCGATCCCTAGCACCTCAATTCTGTTCCCCCTTTTTTATAAAGGCGCGCTGCTGTGACGACGAGGCTTTGAATGCGATGCGAGGACTCCACGAAGTGAGATGCGAAGCCGAACACGCAAACCTGCAGACCGCAAGCTTGGACCGCACACCGAACACGTGCACTCCAAGGCCGCACACTCCGAGGTGCGCACACTGTCCGCACACACCGAGCCGCACACTCCCTGGCCGCACACCTTCAACCGGGCCGGGGAAAAAATGACATTTTTCACCCTTTTTGCTCCAAAACTCGATCAAAAACTCGCAAAGAAGAAACCCCACTTATTTTTGC